TATATTTTGGCTTGAGAGCCCAAAGAGACATTATATATCTCATAAAGCTTTTGAATTATATCTCTGCATACGGGTCTGTATATTTGATTTTGTTTTATCTAACAAGAGTTCATAAAACACTCACGAGGAATTAAGGCTTACCTCTACTTTCGCTTACCCTAGTGCCCATAAGGGTTTCGCAAGTTTCATTAATTTGTTTGTGTTTGTTGCAAGCAAACCCTATAGAGTGAAACACTTGTATAGTATATAGTTTGCTTCTTATTTAAATGTAGAATGCACCATTTGCTCCACTTATAATTTATATAGCAGGAGTATTTTTCAAGTGAAACATAAGTTGTAATGTTCTAAAACATTTATTTTTATTCTAATATCCAGGTACTTGGATTTCACTTAGTTGTTTAAACTTAATTGTTCTGTAATTTTACATACTTAACGTGGGGCCATTTTCATTTAGTATTTTCTTTCATTTTTCATTTAAAGGGAACGGTGTATATGCACTAGAAATATCAGGTCTTCATTAAAGCCTCCATTAGTAACTCTTATTAGTCACACTTCATTTTCCAAAATGCACAATATCACTTGCCCATAGTGTATTGTTTTATATCGGAAATTGTGAACTGTCATTAAATATTTGTTATTTTTTGTCTCTTTCCTTGCGATCAGTCGCGACATGAAGAGAACTTCTTGTTGTTAGAGGGCCTAGCTCTCTACCGTGCGATTAATCCATAACATTATAGTTATCACTATACTCTCCAGCTACTGTGGAATATTGAAATTACTCCGCAATAAGATTTTGTTTATAAATTTAATTTGAATGTGACAGATAGTTGACTTCCGTGTGAACTAACATAATGCTATTAATTTATTATCGTAAGTAGACAAGTAGCATGGAGAATGGCTATGATACTTTGTTACGATGACTTTTACTTCCTCTAAAGTATCGGAAATTGATTGTTATTATCTGTACAATAAACTGTTGTAAATGGAACTTTTTTTTTTCATACCTTCAGCCCCTAGTGGCACAGCGGTATGTCTACGGACTTGCAACACTAGAACCCGTTTCGATACCCGTGGTGGGCAGATCACAGATAGCCCATTGATTAATTTCAAACAAACAAACCTGACCTACAGACTATACTCTTAATCAAGCTTTGTGACGTCAACATGAACTGATGCATAAAAAAATATTTAAAAGTCACAGTTATTGATTCTTGTCAAACTGCTGGTTTTATTTAGGCACATATTAACGTAAAATATTTTTACAATAATATAAATATTCCGTTTAAAATGAAGTGCTGTAGATTGTGCTGCGTAATTTGTTATTTTTCGTTATTTAACATTTGTTACATTGGCAATTACACACGAGATGGCACTCTTTCCTGTAATGGTGATGTTAAATATCTCGACAATCAAAAGCACTTTACTTTTAGTTTTAAGATCTATTTGATTTATACTAGATTTTTTATACCATTGTAAGTCATTCAGTTTGAGTAATGAGTGAAGATACTGATGATTTACTTCAAAAAGCTCTTCCAGTACAGGATACAGGAGAGGATTTTAACCTTGACATTCCACCTACATCGGGAAACGAGTATCTCCGTAGAGTTCAGTATGTACTCTTAATATATTACTATTATAATTTTATTTTTACTAGGTTTAGGCCAAGGGTCTAACGTACTGTGTTTGTTAGTTATACTAATAGTAATACTACTACTGCTAGTGTAACCTATGAGCAGTAAGGGACCATTTGATTCTTCTAAACTGTACTTGCAGTTGCACACCCACGTTTGCGAAAAATGAAACCCATACGGTCTCGCCAGTTAGCGACAAGACAGGTCAAGACACTTATTTTTATTTCAAAAGCAATATGAGAGAATAGTAATTTTAAAACGGTTTAATTTACTGAAATAGTGAAAAACACACGAAATATTTAAAGATATGAAACTGCAGCAAATACGATGACACAAGAGATGCACCATACTGAACAAGTGACATACAGAGTTTACTAAACGTAAATATAATTATGAATTTTTATGATTTTACATTAAGTTTAAAATAAACATGTTTGCATCTGAATTATTTTTTTACTTATTGGTTTTATGTTACGTTTGTATATTAGCCCCAATTGCTTGGGCCTTTTTTAAGTTCTTGGCTTTGTTGAGATTCACAAGACTCTGGGAGCTGTAGTGTAGTATATACTGTATAGGAAACATATATAACTTTCATATAATAATAATAATAATAATAACAACAACAAGGGCTATTGGACTAATGGGCTGTTAGCTTTTTTTATTGACATTCTTGATGGTTCTTGACTCTATTTAGTAAGACCCAAATATAATTATTAAACTTTAGTCTACCACAGGTTAATATCCATAAATAGGTTATATATTTTGATGTTTTTCACAAAATTAGGTTGTTTTAAAGCAACTAATCTGTCAACTCACTGATATCTGCCATGGGCATGTGATCAGTATTGTCACGCCATACTGTGTCTACCAATATAAACGGTTCTTGACCCAGATGTGGTTATTAATCACTGTTACATTATTCAAACATTTCTGTTTCTAGAACTGCTTGTAAATATGAATGAGGAAGACCTACAAATACACAAAATCAAGCATGTCCAATATAAGTTTAAGAATTCAACCAAATATATTTTTTGCTTTATTTTAAATGATGAAATAGTTTTATATTAGTGTACAAAATTATATGATATACTTTACTGAAAACTAATTGTAATCTTTGGGAATGTTGTGTTTTAAATGCCTACAAATCTGATTTAATTAGCTGATTGCAGAGTTTGCTTTGAGGGTGGGATTCACTTGAAGATTGTATAGGAACCTTGTAATTTGAAATAGTAATTAATATTTGAAGATGATTTATATGAGGAGACACAATTTTGTTGATATTTGATTGTAAGATTTATATTTTTATCTAATCATTTTTGAATATCAGCACTTAAGTCATTAGATCGGGGTTTTCTTGGCTGGATTACTTTATGTGTGTGATCTGCACCAGCAGAAGACAGTTACTTCTCTGGAAGTGTTGCTTGAAGAAACAGTCGGCTATCATTCTAACGCATTGTTGCAGTAATTAATGATTCATTGAAAAAATAGTCACGTCTTCCTTTGTAGTCTGATAAGAAAAACATATTGTATTTTTGCAAATTAATACTATGAAGATTTGTTTCATATAAGTCACGGTATTACTTCTTATACACTTGTAAAAGCCAAAACATAGGATTCTGGCTTAATAAATAGATCTTTCAATTGGGCAAAATGAAAAATGGGTTCCTTGACCTCCAAAACCAAATCAATACACATCAGAATCCTTGACCTAGCTGGTAGAACATCGAAGGTATGGTCTCTTATATATATCACCACAGAAATATTGAATATTTGAATTTCCCCAAGAATGTTGTGGTGGCATCATGAAATTTCTTATCCAACATGTGAAAAAGATATAAAAACCTCCTATCATTTGGTGAACAAAAGCAAATGAATTTAAATAAAAAACCATAAAACTATTCATAATTAATATTCTTCACCATCCTCTGTACTTTGTTGTCAATTTGAATTTAGCATGGTTTACTTCATGTTTACATTTTAATGATTTATGCAGGGTCTACTTCTTCCAGACTTCTAATTATGAAGTTCCAAATTCTTGTAACAAAAAGTAAAATTGATATGAAGTTTTTATCTTTCAGACTAGAAGCCAAGCAGTGTCCATCTGTTGTTGTTGCCAAAATCGACACCACTCAGTTTTCCAGACAGCAAACAGTAAAAATAAGTTATGTAAGTTTGTTGGATATACACGACTGTGTAGTGTAGGCATTATTTAATTTATTTTGTGAGTTAATATTTGATGATTGTTGAGTTTTTCATAAAAAGAGAGTTAAAAGCAATTATTTTAAAGGCAATAGTTATAACAAGTTTGGGTATGTAACTCAGAAAGAGTCATACATTGTGTTTGCAATTCATTTGTATCAAGGCTATAGAAAATTCTAGAGGCCTCAGTGATAAACATGTAAATAGTGGTGACCAAACGAGCAGGAGTGGAGAAAAAGTCAAGTCAAGTGAAAGAGAAGTTCAGTCAGAAAAAGTTAGAAAACGTGAAGTTAGCCATTGTGGGAGTGAATAGTTTTAACGCTTTATATATTAAAGTGAGATTAACAGTTTGATAGAGATAAGGAGAATAATTTGTCTTTTCAGAGGGTGTTCTAAACTAATTGAACCTGCCTCTGTGGACTTTGATGAAAAGAATACAATTATTGGAAGTTTAAGATACAATTGTGGTAACTCACGAGGCAGCATAAGTGAATTATTCACTGATACTATTATGATAAAAGTCAAGAAGAATAGTTTGGCTTGTCAACTGAATTCTAAAGCAATTGAATTGGATTGTGTACTGTCCATTTATTATTCAAATTTATCACCAACAAGTCACAGACACCTACTGTAGAAGAATCCTTGGCTCACACCCTTGTATATATATACTTAAAGTTCTGACAAAGTTACAAGCATTTAAAATTACTGTCATCTCAGAAATATTTTGAGAAGTGTGTACATAAGTATTTATTTGTGTTATATGCTGTTATTATGTATGTTATTTTCATGATTTTTTATTAGAATAAAAGTTATGTTTTACAAGAAGAACAAATACCGTCATCATATTAATTTGCTTTGATCGTGAATCCTTATATTTTTATACAAACGTGTACATTTTGTATCATAACAAATTCTTTATGTGCTCATTATTCTGGTACTAATAGTTCTTTTACAAATAAATTTAATTAGCCAGGTTGTTACACAATGTCTAAAATTTTCTGTATAATCCCAAATGAGAATACTATTTTGTGAAAATGGTTGATTTACTTTAGGGTGGCAAGCTGACTAAAACATGGTGTTTTAGAGCTATTTTCAACCTTACTAGAATGTTTATTCACACTTGCTACACTTAAAAGAGAATTTTAAAATTGCATTGATATTTATAAAGCCCAAAATATTTACCACAATCTTATATAATAAATTCCACTTTTAAAGTAAATCCTTAATCCTTTCAGCAATGACAAAATCTGTATTGATTTAAATTCTGGATAAAGTAACTTGTCCGAGTTATCTGAGTAAAAGATGTTATAATTTTTAAGTATGAACACACACACACACACAATAAAACCAAAACTCAAACCCAATTTTTCACAAATTTGAAGTACATGTAGAACTAAAAACTTGTTTGGTATTAAGAGGTAGTCCTGTAACTCAAGATATAGAAAAGTGAATTGAAAAGATTCATGTTTGTATACTTTTATTTCATTACTCCTTTTATTTTTAAGTTTAGGACTTTTGTATTATTGGAAAATTTTAGATTTAAGTTTTCTTTTCAAAGATATTGCTCATGTTACATTACATTATACAAGGACGTTTCAGAAAGTAAAGACAATTGATAAATAAAACAAGTGTTGGTGGCTCCACATTCCAATATCGTGGGTAAAGAGAGGTCCATGAGAGTACCAAAACAAGATCAATATGACCTTGCTAGAAGATGGTTGTGTTTTGAATTTTTTAACGGTGGATGTTTCCACTACGTGCTCTGTCTTTTGCTTTTTGTAATGATGTAATCATATTGAAAATGCAAGTTTTATGGAAATCTTAAGTATGAAAAGAAAAATTAATGTAATGTTTATTTTTCTAACATTCTTTCCTTAAAAAAGCTTTTGTACTTGTTGAAAATTTACTGTGGAAATCTATTTAGATTTTCTAAAAAGAAACTAGACAGTAGTTAAAAGTTTATTTATGAATTTAAATTTTGAACTTATTTTGTTTTTACTTGGATGCTTTGCTGGACTGAAATAGAATTTTCTCTTGCTCGTTTTTTAGGGTGAAATTTTGTAAGTGAGATTTTTTGTTACTTACTGAGTAAATAAGAAACCATTTTAGGAATAATTCAGAAACACTTTATAATAAATCTACACAAGGTGAATTGTTTGTTCCACATAAATAATGAAAGATGTGTATAATTTAAATTTTTTGGTGTAACATTTTGTCTTGTTATTCGTCGTCTTATAGGGTAGTGGCTTGTCTCCAGCACCAAAAGGTTACGCCCCTTTTCAGCACTGGCAAAAGAAACAAGTGGCCGACTTTTCTAAGACACGACAGGTGGGTTTTTAATCTGTAATGAAATTCACTATTTTCATATCAGTTAGATTTACTGGCTAAAGTACCCCACCGAAAGGGGGTGGGGGCAGCCAGGTAACTTGTCCCAGGCAACACAACAGCTCGAATGGAAGGAACAAGAGACTCGTCCCAGGCCCAAAGATTTCTGTGGGCCATATTGAGTGGCTGTAATAAAGCTTAAAACCTTCGATGGTCAGTTACAAATATGTTACTTGTGCATAACAATGTATGGTTTTATCGCCATATCTTACAAAAGTCTGAAGTGTAAGACTATCACTATTAATTTAATCTGTAGACCTTCCATGTTCCTCAATTAAACCAAGACTGAGTTTCCAAACTGTTTCTCTGAACTCCTTTTCTTTTTTTTAACTTTGTCACAAAGCTAATACTGAATAACTGATTGGATATATATTTATAGGCTTATCACTAACCTTACGAGTACTAGTAAACCCGCTAAAGTTAATTTTTAGCTGCGGCACAGTGGCTCATAGAATGGCTCTGAGTTTTTTTTTTTTTTCAAATACAAACTTTTTGTTCATAGCTCCGTTATCTCTTGACCAATTTGAGATCTAATTACAGTTTTGGGCTTGGAGGTCAAACCCTTTCAATTAATATATTTGACTACATCTAAGGTCTCATAGATTAATTTACTCTAATCCTGCCTAAAATAATTTCAATTTGAGGGTAGGCTAGTATATATATTAATATATATTTGACTACACCTAAGGGCCTACCCTCAAATTGAAATTATTTTAGGCAGGATTAGAGTAAATTAATCTATGAGATGGTATATATATTAAT